TCAATTTTAAAATAAAATCTCATTCACTCGGTCTAATGAACACTTATAGAGTGCATAAAAATACTTTTTTCGAAGGGTAATACTGTGATTTAAAATGACATCACCAGCAAATTTTATACCAGTTTAAAGCGTGTCAAACATGGGATTCGTCAATACTTAATAGTAAGGGTTATAGAAACTGTCCAATGTTGAATTCAGACAATTCCTAAAATTTTACATCATATCAGCAGAGAAAAATTCCTTTCATGGGACAGTTTAAACTAGATCTCATATAAAATGAAGAATATCACACATCACTGGATACCTGATCTGGAAATATTGGAACAAAAATCAAAACTGAACCTGAAGAAAATACCCATCAGTGATGGAACACAATCATTTTGATGAAGAAACTCTCAAAAAAAAAACAGATTTTATGTGTTTTGACAAACATGGAAATAAACATTAACCTGTTTGAAATTATTTTATGTTTGTATCCGTTTTATCTCAGTGATGAAAAATCGCTAATGATCGTCATACTGATTGTTGATTATATTCATCAAGTCTTAAAACAAATAAATAAATATTACATTTTGATATTCATCATTTTAAATGAGATTTACTTAGGGCATACCAAAAGTAATATCGTCATTACCTTATTTCCATACAGAAAGCTTGAAGAAATTTTCTTTTTTTTATATGTAATGATAGAGAAAACGATGCTCTATTTTTCTCTGCTATTTAATCACTATTGAATTAATATTGTAATAATAAAATTACGATAAGAACTGTTTTTCTGTAAAATGTGATGGTTATACTAATTGTATTTGAAAAAAAAGCCGAGTGAGTAGTTTTGGAATAATTTTTCATAGGAACAAGATAGAGAACTGCAATTTTCACCGTTCGAAAGAAGAAATGAAGATGTATCAAATCGTATGCTTCAAAATTTTTCGATCTGATTTTTTAAAGTTTTCAATCGACTTCTTTGAAAATAAATCTACTTTGTAAAGGGTGTACAGCGAATTTTTAACTGTCAGATGTGCATTCAAATCGTCAGTGGAAGATCTATAAAACTGCATAAGGTTGAGATATTTGGAATTAATTTTTCAGGAGTCATTGGTATCCTAGTTGAAGTTGTAAAGTGGTTTTTCTAGCACCTCCTGTGAAAAATGTATTTTTGCTGTTTGCTTTTTAATAAAAACCCATTTTTTGATACTTAGAAAATTGATTAAACAAACTTCGCACAATATGCTTGAAAAGTCGATAATATATAATTCAATACATCTTCATCTCCTTTTTCGAACGGTGAAAATCGCAGCTCTCTATCTTGTTCCTATGGAAAATTATTCAAAAACTACTCACTCGGTCTTTTATTTTCAAATACAATTAGTACAATCATCACATTTTACAGAAAAAAGTTCTTATCGTAATTTTGTTATTCCAATATTAGTTCGATAGCGATCAAATAACACAGAAAAATAGAGCATCGTTTTTTCTATCATTACACATAAAAAAGAAAATTCCTTCAAGCTTCCTATATGGAAACAAGATAATGATGATTCTACTTTCGGTATGCCTTAAGTAGTTTGAACTACCTCACGAAAGGAATTTTCCTCTGCTAATATGGCGCAAATTTTCGAAACTTCTTGAATTCAACATTGAAAAGTTGTCATAACCTTTACTATTCCATATTGGTGAATCCCATTTTTGACGTGCTTTATTATGACATAAAATTTGTTGCTGATGTTATCTGAAATTACTGTGTTACCCTCCAGAAAAAAAAAACATTTTTACATGCCCTGTAAAATCCAATCTGGTACTAATTAATTCATATTTTGTTAGTGTCAAAAGACTATCCGAAAGAAAAGTGATGGCTCTATGAGTCAATGGTATGAGTGTGAAACTTTATTTATTCACTTTCTTTCATATTGATTTATTTTATTTATCAACAACAAAACAATATGGACTATAAATGGAGATTACAGATCTTTTCTGTCAAACATAAATAAAAACAAGAATGTTTTTGTAGAAATATAGCTAATCAGTTCTCCGTCTGGCTCGTACTTATCTTGATCCAAAAGTATATTCTAGTAAATTATTTTCTGCATGTATAATGGAGAATGAAGGTTTTTGTTTGGTACGAGATCAAAAAATATATATTCTATTAATTAAATACGAGCTAATAGTCTTATTTTTGTCATTTACAAGAATGGAATACAGGTCAACGAGTACAAAATACACGTAATTTAACATTCAAAGGTATACATGTACAGATTTTAAAAAATGCATTAAATTGAAAAAGTCAAGATTTTTAAAATAACAATACTAATATTTGATATAACAAGACTAGCAATTATTGCTCGTACACTTGAGATTGCATGTCAAACCTTAGATGCTACAACATTAAACAAAAAACAATGGACAAATACTAATTGCTGAAAATTCAGCCGTCGCAACCTTGCTGTTAGATGAAATAATTATCAGAATTGAATCAACTCGTTGAATAACACATGCCATTGCTTGTCTGATAAGTAAAGAAAAATAAAATATTCTATCCATCAATTGCCAGCAAAAGAAGCAACCGATATCGTAATCAACGCTACGAAGGGTTTCATACAAGGAAAAAAAGATGTCTACATATTTTACAGCTGAAATTTAGTAAACAATAATTATAATTATCTTTGTTTGTATTTTTCAGAAAAAAAGCCTAAAATGAAAATTCACTGACTTCGTATTTTAATCATTTGTCTTTTCTTTTCAAAGATGAATTCAATTCAACATACTCTACTCAAATGATTATCATTCGTGTAAAAATACATTACTATATGTATTTACAATTCCATCCATTGTTTAGTGTTATTTCGAAACCTATGAAAGTACAGCCTAAATTTAAGGTTTCTTCAATATCATGAGAACTTCTTGTACATACTAAAACACTAATTCAATAAAGAACAAATAAACTAATAATCGAACAATATACTACATGTGTTTGTTTTTTGTACAAAAAGAAAAGAAAGTTTTCTTTTTATTCGACAACTATCGATATCTTCCCATAATTGTAATTTGATAACTTGATTTCTTTCTTTTCTTTGTTCAATCAATAAATTCATTGTTTTGTTTTGTACATTATATTTTGAGCTAACAAAACCAAATTCCACAAAGAGATAACTGTTCACAAACAATAGATAGGTCAATCATAATGATTACATGTTTATCATTAGACTATCATTTATTTTTCTTTTGTATATGAGGCTCAAGAAAAAAACAAAAAGAAGCTTGAATCTATTACACTCATGTTCTAATCTTTTTTCTCTCTCAATTTACGATAATGTGTATTTTTAATTTCTTTGTTCAATTCATCGATCTATGTATCATCAACAATTATCAATTCATTAGAAATTACATTTTTTTTTTTGGTTTTCATTAATCATCGATCATGTTATTTTCATTCGATGACGGTAAGTTAGATTTTATTGTACTCAATTCTAGATTTAAAAATCCACAATGTAAAACAAAAACAAAAACACATTTTTCCTATTGCTTCTATCAAAGTTGACACACAAAACGAATGTATACTAGAGATTTTATTATAAATAAATGATGACAGCCAGTATACTTGAATAGATCGCTCACTATTAATATATCAAAAGATGCTTTTCTTCTCGACAGACTACAATCAATTTATGTCTTATAGAACATAGTATACTATTATATAGATATTAATAATAATCAATAATTAAGCAAGCACCTATACATCTAGATCTCGTTCGTTGTCTTTACATTGATTGACGTTTATCCCATTTATTGTTTTTTGACGTTTTTTCTTATGACATATTATGGTTTACAGTATGACATCAACAACAAAAAATAACAAACAACGCCCGCTGTTATACAAACTAATGTACCATAGAATACTTGCCATTCTGATTCTGCGTGTTTTTCTTTTTCAGGCTTCTTAGTTTTGTACTGATAAATTACCATCCTCATTCTATCCTTTTTGTAGCTTAGAATTGTCTTTCTAATAGATATATGCGGTAAGTGATCTGAGAAAAACTACATTACAAAAGAGACTACGGTAAGCGCCTCTTACAATGATTAAATGTGATAATGACAACATATTCAAATATACTCCACCTTTCACAATAGACAAAAATATCTAATACTTCAAATGTCAAATCCGACATTGATAATTTTCAAAGGACACACGCACATAAATACACATATATGTAAAGATGTGACGACTTCACGTATCTTCTTTTCGTTACGTTTAATTATATAGATACCTTTGAAAAGAGAAAATGCGCGCTAGACTTTACGATAAGATACTAATCGATTGAGATCTTCGTTTATCTTCTTTCTATGGCTGAATCGTCGAACAAGCATTTCGTGAGTGTTGTCAAATTTCAAATATTTGATGAAAGTGAGTTAGAAATAAGAAACGAGCAAACCTATCAATAAATAACATTAGCTTAATGCACTACTATGGTAATAAATCAATTATTCTTCTTTTAGTCTAATCTTTCTTTATCAGTAATTTATCAATTCACACTTTTCAATAGTATCTTTACATATTTATTCACTTACTTACTTCTTAACCTTCAATATAAATTGATCGATCCTTTTTTTTGGTCATATATCTTTTTTCTCCTGTTTCTTATTGGATGTCATCAAGAAAGATCATAATAGCCTTGATGTAAAGCAACAATTGTATACATACGTCAGAAGTAATATGTGGAGCTTACAATAGAAAGAAATTCTATAGATCGTTAAGATCAAATAAAAAAATATATTGTAACATATTATTGTGCATCAATCGAGTGATGAAATAAAAGACAAGCAAAAAGAAAAGAAACCAACTACCCCTTGCTCGTTCCTGTTTTTCTCTTCGTAATAATTACGACTATCAGTACGTACCTTCGCACATGCCAAGTATTGTGTTTTTTTTTTGTCTTTCGTTACAAAATATCGTCACGTGCAATACTTCTTTCGTCTAACTTGACATCGACTCTTCGTTTAATAATATGAATAACGAAACAATAGTTGACGAGGATCATGAGAGTCAAGTCTCATCCTCAGCATTACTACCCACCAATCAACATGCATCTCGTTCCGAACTTGTGACAAAAATTTATTATCCTGATACATTATATCCCGACAATTATTCATTCTTTGCAGATCGAGGCAACACACCATTATCAAAAGCAAAATTCTCGTTACCCATGGACACAACTATTCAATATCCAACTAAAATTGTCGATCAAACAGATGCTCCAATAGCAATATCGACTATTTCTAAACAGACAACAACTGAAGTTGAGACTATTGATCAACCAAGAAAATATTCCGTAAGTAATACTTGTTTATTTGACTATCTAAATATATTTTGTTGTCAACATTGATATTGGGTTTTTTTTTGCGGTTCTCTTTTTCTTTCTTTCATCGGTATATATATTAAAAAAAGAAAGTACTGTTTTCGACATTAACTTGTCGATGATAAAGAGAAGAATGCTACAACTCAATCATGCTGGCATGCATCAAAGTCATTAGACAAGTCTATGCCAGCTGCGGTTAAAGGACAGAAATATGTAAAAAAAAATGCATTATCTTGAGTACCTATCCATTTCAATAGAAATCTTATCTTAAATTTACATTTAGTTTATTTTTGTCATAAAAAAAAACCAAAATATATACTAAACGCAGTTACAGGGTATTTATAACTATTCTTTTTTGCTTTTTATTCTAATTATTGTTGTCTAATTTCAAAGTCTTTTATTTAAAGATAACTAAAACAGAGCAGTTCGTTGTTTATTTATATAAATAGACTAATATATCTCGTTTGTTGTTATTTTCAATCATCCATAGCAGTAGAATATAATGTCAATAAGAGAATAAAAAAAAATCTGAGAATAATAAATACATAAGAGCAGCTACTGTGAGTTACAATGATGACGTCTAGGTATTCTTTCTTTTTGTTGTCATTTAACGAACATTTCTCTTTTCGTGACTTGATTTTAGTATATATGAAAGCAAAGAAAGAGAAACGAGATTAAATACAACAAAAAAACACGAAAGAAAAAAAGAGAGAAAGTAAAAATAAGTAGATAGCGAATGCGTATTTCTCTGAAGCGCAACAACATGTATTCGAAGCGTATGTTTTGCATGTATGTTGTCCTTACACTTTAAAAGATATTTTATTTTCTCTATACTGTCTTAATGCTGTCTACTCGATTTCACATACGCACACATACGAAAAAATCAGAACCACAGATGTACGACTCGTATTTTTTTTTCTTTTTTCCTGTCGATTGTCCTTCACAAAAAGCGCATATTTACACATTTTTTTCTTTTGGCCCGTAGTATTTTCTTGTAAGATTGATGCTGTTTTCTCCTGTATGTTTTCTCTGTCAGTATTACACCGGCATGCATATTTTGTGATCGATCACAAAAAGGGTAATCGAGCTAGTAAGAAAAAGAGACGATTATTGATGCTTCTCCTAACATAGAAATTATTATCACAATGCCAGTTGTTGTTTGTGGTTTCTTTTTGTTTTTTCTTTCTTTATTTTTATTATTATTTTTGTTATATTTGCTTACATAGGCAGCGATAAAAGTAAAAAATAGTTAAGGCCGACGAAAAAAAAACTGTTATTAATAATATTTTTAGTAATTTATCGATCGAATATATAGATAATACTTATTACGACGATTTTCCTCGTCGATACGCTTCATCTGTATAGTGAAAAGAGAAAGTAAAAATGTCGGTAGACGATCAACAAGGCATCGAATTAGCACAGGTGAGTATTGCTCTTACTTTTTTTTTCTATCTATATACATCGTTGTCTTTTGTAATATAATACATGTGAGTTTATTTTATTTGATTCATTATATTTCTTTATAGTCTCCAATGATTGATCGAGAACGTGGTGAATCCGAACCTGAAAAGCGTCGATTTGATGTTAAACGTTATGTACCAGCAGCATTACGTCCTCAAGACAAATCAGTAAGAATTAATATTTAAGTTGTTATTATTTCGAATAATTAAAATTTACGTTTCTTCTTTAGCAACCACCTGGTATCTTATTAGATCCTCGATTTTATTCAATGAAAAAGACAGCTATGACTATCATGTGTCTATTAGTAAGTGAGAAAGCAAATTAGTAGTGATTAGTTTTTCAATTCTCTTAAAGAAGTTTACTTTTTGTACTTTGACAAGCATTATATTGTATAAATTTCTGAATAATTGTGATGTAGTGAAAAAAAATTTTAAAAAAATGTATTTTTGATTTTTTTTCTGTAGTGTTGAGCACCTACCTCAAACCCAAATAGGGATTTTAATAGCCCATGAAATTTTCTATCTAATGTATTCTATATTAGATATTTTTTTAATAATGCCATTTTAAAGAGCACAGAATTCTGTGTAAAATGAGAGATCGCTGCATTTTCTACGACCTTGTCTTAAAAAGTTAAAAGCATCACAATAAACGAAATTTATCAAAAAATCAACTAGAAAACGCCTTGGTTTTTTTTTTGGTTTTTGTGATACTTTTAACTTTTTAGGGGAAAGCCATAGAAAATGTAGTAACTCCTTATTTTGTGCTTTTTAAAATGATATTGTTAAAAAATGTCTCCAATAAAATCTTCTGGGACCTTAAAAACTACCATGTCCAATTTTTTTACAAATCTTACTATCATATTTCATCTATGAAATCTTGCTATAGAATGTATTCGATAGTAAATTCCATTGATTATTAAAATCACTATCTGGATTTGAGCTAGGTGCTTAATATTATAGCAAAAAAAAAAGTGTTTTGTTAAACTCTTTTCACTACCTTATATATAGAACGAAAATATTTAATTGAATAACCATAGTATTTGTTAGACTATTGAGACATGTATTTCATGTTGATCACGATCTTGCTATTAGTAATAGTTATTCATCTAGTTTGTTTGTCATCTGTTGAATATGAAACAGTTGGATTTTTTATATCTAGTAATATTTATATTTATGTTATTTATCGTAGTACTTCTAAAAGCAAGTATAGATGATCGTATACTATTGAATTACTTTATGATTAACTAATATATCCAAATAATGACATTTGTATTGTACTAATGACTTTCTTTTCATAGTTATGATCTTACGATTTTCTAAATACATACAATTTTTATTTTCGAAAATCAGCAAAAGTAAATTTTTATATGTCGACTAGTTTTATATTCGACTATAACATATTTTTAATATTCGAAATACATACATGTCAAAAATGCTAAATGATAAATTGATTAGAGAAAATATTTCGCAGTCAATTAGCTTTAACATAACCGCAATATTTTGCGGTTTTCTGTTGAAATACCATAGATATACATGGAATAGATTCCACTGTCATAGCTTCATAGATAAGAAAATCTCAAGGTTGTGAATGTTTTTTTTTGCATTATTAAGCCGTTTCCTCTTTCACCCAACGCATGAGTCACGATTCAAGTCAATCACTTGTTCCCAGCATCTGAGTATCATTTCGAACTGGGAAAAAAAACTTGCTGAGATTGTGAGAATGTGACGAGTGCACATCTGAAATTTGTTTTTCAAAACTCGACCGCATTGAGGAGATATAAATATGTAGAAAGCGATAATTAACAGCTGATAGTTTCCTTATGTGGAAATGTATGATTCAATTTAAAGCAACTATTGATATCTTAGAAGTTATATGCATATATATTTTAATTATCGTCTTTTGTAACGTAAATGCATCCATGAAGGAATCTGGAGGAGTCGAGGAAATCTGACCATGACAACTAAGCGACTGAAAAGCAAAACGTCGACAAGTACACTTTGTACAGTCAGTCGACTTTTCTACTTGAGCTTCGCTCGAGTAGCAGTCTAGTTCAACTTTACAATTTGTTTCTTCAGAAATATGTAACTCACCACTAAAGGCAAGGGAAAGGAGGGGGCGGCATAGAAGGGACATAGTGTAGACCAGTGTCAAAACCAGGATGGGTGTTACGCCCTACGTGCTTCCTATCAGCTACGCCCTTGTGTTTCTTGTTGTATAAGGTAACATGGCTAACAAATTGAAAGAAAAAAATAAAGCCAAACAAACGTGATTATCTTTTTTCTCTTTCTTAGATTATCATCATGAGCAACAGTGTGCAACTAAAACATGTTCTTAAAGAAGGTCGTACACATGCATTTTATGGTACTCAAGTAACACTTGGCATTGTTTCGGTTCTCATGTGTGCTTCGATTGGTAAGTTTTCTTAATAGAGAAAGTGCTTTGTTTTTTTTTCGGAAGTTAAACTGTGTTATTCTACACTCGTGCCTGTCCTATTTTCGATATCTGTAATTTATCTTGTGAGTTCGATAGTATATGTTTTTTTTTCTCTCCATTTTTCTTGTAAAAAAAAGAAATAGTCGTTGTTACAAAACTTACCTTCCCCGATTCTAGGCCTTGTTCAATTGTATTTGTTTTTGTTTACACGGCTCGATCATCTACCATCATCACCATTAATGGCAAAATTGACATATTATGATACAGTTCTTCTTTTACTTCCAGTTATTTTAACTATTCTTTTATTCATATTTGATATTATCTTTCTAATTATTATGTTTCAGTTTTAATCATCACTTATGAAATTTTCTCTGTTTTTTATATACCTTTTATTAGTTTTCTAACCGTTTGTTATGTAAATAATTCTAATTGAAAATAGCGTTTATTAGTTATTGTGTATTTTATTGTTTGAGTTCTGATTAATGTTTTTTTCCTTATGTTCTAGGTGTGATTCTGATGTATGTGATGCGAATCGACTTGAATGATCAGTACAAACAGCATAAACTCGATTATATAGACAATTGTGTCATTTGTCTTTTATTTATTCTTGCCATCTTTAATATTTTTATTGCTGCGTGTAGTTAGTCTAATTATGTTATCCCCTTCTTTTTTCTTTTTTACTTTTTCTGCGTTATCGTTCATTTTTTTGCACTATCTGTATTTGTGAACAATCTTATAGAGGATTTTAGAATGTTTCTTTTCTTTTTAATGTGTGCACACTTAAAATATGATTTCTCCTTTTTTTTTCATGGTTTATGTTTAGGCACGATATAAACAAATTTTAACGAAAGAAAAAAAAACAACAAACATTATGAGTGTTATATTTGCTTGTTTTGTTTTATTCTTGCAGGTTTTTATCTTATGTATATGTTAACAATCAATGATCAAAACACATACAAACAACGTAAAATTGATTTTTTACAAAATCTTGGCTTAATTTTTCTTTTCTCATTATTCATTCTCAATATTATTTATACAATTTTTCATGCTATTTAATTATAATTCTAAAATATGCGCATTTCTATATACGTAAAATATATACAACTATGAATATCATGTGTGGGACAGTTTTAAAGAGAAAAGAAGTTTATTGTTGTAACTTCTATTTTTTTTTTTTTTTGTAAGGAAAAATGCCTCTATTTAACCGGTTATTTCTTATATCAGTTAGTCATATCTCCATTCATGTTTGTTGTGAAATATCTGTTTGTAGTATAGCTTTAAATATTTTAATACCGAATGGATGTTATGTTTAAGTAGTTTTTTTTTTTAGAAATACAATCAATATAATTCTATAAGGTTTTTTTAAATAAATCATCTAAAGATATTTAGATGAAAAATAAATCATTTCAATAATGTTTTGTTTTTTTTTGTAGAAGTTTTAGTTATTCTCTAATAAATTATATGATACCGTTGAAGAAAAAGATCCAAAGAAAAAGAATAAATATGTCAATGTTATGAAGTGTTTGATAAAGATTAATAGTTGTTGAAATAAATACATCAATAATGAAACAGTACGGCTTAAGCAAGCGCAGGGTTCCCGATTGGGGGGGGGGGGGGGGGGGGTGAGATGTTAAGATGTAGGCAAACTCAATACCAGCAAAACAACATTAATCAATAAAATAAATTCTCCTTTTATATCATGAGAAGAACAATAACAACAACGAATAATCTAGTCAAACGAGCGAAAAACAATAGAACAAGAGAGAGAAAAAAAGAATAGAGAACGAAAAAGAAACAAATAGAAAATGAGCAGATGATAATATACAGGTAACGACACACAGTGCCGTTACCGGGGGGAGGGGGCAGGGAGGAGCTTTCCCCTCCAAAATTTCAGACTTTCTGCCATAATTTTTTATAACACTTTCTGCAACAATTTTAAAGTGCAGTTCAGCAGAAAGCTTTTGCATTCGCTGGAATAAAATTAAACCAAAGGTGGTGCTTTCTGCCAAACTTCTTGCAGAAAGTCGATTATTTCTGCCAAATCTCTTACAGAAAGAAGACTTTTTTTTGCAAAAATATCGACTTACTGCGAAAAAATTATAGACTTTCTGCCAAATTTTTAGCTCCCCCCCACTCCCAAAAACAATTGGGAACCCTGCGCAAGTGTAACGCGATGACGTCTTTTCCACAGTATTTTTAGTCTTTCTCAGCAACTAGAGTACTTAGAGAACTTATTGTTTCGCCAAAAGATATGTCTTGGTACTCCCCTCAATCTCCAAAACATTGAGTTCATTTGGCTTATTCGTTTGAAAATTATAGTACAAATATGTAGCGTAACGCGATGACGAAAGAAGGGGCAAAAAGTTGAGGATGATACATTTGTTGTTTATTTTTCTGCGAATGTGCTCTGTATAGGAAAAAAACGATCTGTAGTAAACTGATAGCCGACAGTTTGGGGCATGAAACGGAAAAGAAAAATTATCGATATATACAATTTATTGACATGAGATTTCGTTGTGGTTAACGTAACACGATGACGAAAATCAGTACTCAGAACTTCCCTATTTGCTATCTTATCTTCTCAATAATCAGTAAATATCATTGGAACCACTTTTCGTCCGTAGAATAAAAGAGTTTTCATTCGCTTTGTATTAGGATCTATAAGACAATAATAGCGATTTTTGAACTTAATATTTTCGTCCAGGTTGACGCGTTACGCGCTCAAGCCAGGTAGTAATACATGATAGGAGGATTGTTCGAAATAGACTACCTGGCTCCACATGACCCAAAGAGACTTTCCCAAAGGGAAAAAAACAAGACTTCAGTAGTCCGAAGTATGGTGAACTACCGTACTTCATTCGTACCTCGGAGTACAGAAGTCTCGCTTTTTTCCCATTGAATTTTTCTCACTGGTCGAGTGGACTTAAATATCTCTCGAGTGACCTCGCTCGAACGTTAATTGTTCCTTCAAGAGAGATCAGTGTTTGTTGTAACTGATAATGATCAAGAATTTTTATTATACGAGCATTTTGTAAGTATCAATTGAGTAATAAATAAACAAGAAGTGGTTTTTCAGTTGAATGATATTGCTCATCCACATACAAGACTAACCAAAGTATACATTGTATGCAGTGGTATGAGTGTTATTGAAATGAAGCAATATCTTACTAATAGACTAGCATTAACAATATAAGATACAATAAGTAATTTATCTGAATCTTTGTAATTGATCAGACAATAATTTACTCATGAAAAGTTCTTGTTGATGAATGATAATCTTCAAGAAGTTGGAGTATCAGCAAGTACATATTGTTTTTTCAATGTAATAAGCAATTGCATCTATCTCTCATATAGCTTTTACAAGTACTAGAATTGTCTGATCTTATAAACACATGATGACGATGATGATAAACTTTTTACAATGTTTTGATAAATTACTGAAGTAATCGTTCAGTTTCATCGTGTACAAATACTTTTCGTCAAAAGAAAAACATTCATAATCAATGTCAGTCCAAGCTCTAATAGAGAAGGAACCAGATCGAGTCAGCATGGTCAATGTTCGACCTGCAATAGGTCGAGTTTGACCATCAAAAAGGTATTTCGCTTTCAAGATCTGATGGATAGTGATATCATGATATCATTCGAACATATAGAGAGAATCAAACCATATATGATTGACTTTGGTCTACTCAGTCCAAAAATTTGACGATGTTTTGCGATTTATTGCAGAATATTTATTAAGCTTGAGTGGTTTCCAAAGCCTAGAAAAATTTAGCACAACTTAAAATATATTGACAAAAGTTTTGATATCTAACATTAAATCACAGTCCACAAGTTTAGACTAGACTGAAATCACTTTCTAATAAACAAATTCTAACGGCATGATTTATAAGTTAGAGCTTCTTTTCTTTGAAGATACGGTAGGATTTTGAATCCCAGCAAGTAAGCATTCATAAAAAGTGATACTTTTTTAGCATTAAACTACCGATAATCCTGGTCTAATAGTAATCTTTGTTCATTTAAACTATGCCATAGGCGTTAAAATAACTAAACAATCACACAAAATGAAAGAAAGAGATTGCTTCTATCCGTCTATTTAAGTGCAATCAATTACTCACGTATTGCGCATGTCAAAGAAATCGTTCAATAAGTGAAATATCAATAAAAACATGAAAACTAAACATCATTCTGAAATTTAATAGATGTAATCGGTATGTGAACCATTGATTGGACTTAGAAGACGAATAGAATCGATCTTTCTGATCATTTATCATCATTTCTTAACTATCTTAATGAACGAATATTACTATTGGAGTAGGATAACCACTATTTTATCGCGTAGAATGTCCAACTGTTTTTATAGGCTTTTATTTTTCATAATTTAAAATTCCATCATACCTTCAAATAAAAGAAAGAATTATAAAACTCTATGGAAAATAGAACGTGAAATCTTTTGGAGAAAAAAATCGGTCAAATAGCATGCAAACTTAAAACGGTATAGACAAAATATTCAGACTGTTGTTTATTCTGCTGCATCCATTGACCAACATGGAATATTTATAATAAAAGTTAATTCGTACTGATTTATTATATTGGAAATATTATGCTTTGAAGCTTTTGAGAAATGACAAAATAATATGTATTTGTCATGTTTATATGGTTCGTTAAAAAGCATCTCTAAGTCATATAATGAGCTTCGGAAAAGAGAAAAGAATAAAAGTTAATTGCCACAGTTTCTTAACAACATTTATCTCTCGTTACTAAATAAAATTGGTGATCTTCATTTTTTTTTGCAATTCGGACTCTCGGAAGAGACGTTACATTAGAAATTGTTTATTCTTTCTGTTTTTTTTTAAAGACTTAAATGAGTTAGAAAGAGTTGCACATGCAAGATTTCATCGTTCTACCAATAGAGATGAATGAACTTGCTTGAAATGAATGTGACTCATACGTTGAAAACAAGGAGAAAAACAAAAAAAGAACACACTATGGAAACCGATTAAGTAAACATAGATTATTTTATGTATATTACTTCTTGTCCGTAGATTCAAATCTTAAAGAACGAAAACTCTGCTAACTATTACTATGAGTGAATTGATTACAGAACATTGTAATTTACTTGAACAATGGAAAGAAAATAATCAATTTTATCAAGATAGAGATGACATTTTAAATGATTTTCATACAGAATTAAGTCGTCTTCAATCATCAAATATTGTTACATTTCGCCAAGAAATAAATAAAGTTACAACATTATTATGTACTAATATAATAAATCTGAATGAATTAATTTTAACATTTTTTCTTGATTATTTTATTCAATTATTGAAACAATGGCGTGAATTAACTTATTTTCATGATTCAAATGATTCGGATACATTTGAAAATTTATCAATCATTTTAAAATGTTATTCTCACGATTTAATGAATGAATTATTAGTTCAAGAATTTATTCAATGTCTTATTACAATTGCACGTATTGGAAAAGATATGTTTACGAATCGAAATATTCCAGTTATAACACGTATGCTCAATGCTTATACTGATATTGAGAGTAGTAATAGGCATTACTTTATGCAAGTGTCACAGTTTGATGATAGTATACTAAAATGTCTGTGTACGCCTTATACTGTTGAAGTTTTTGATCAATTTAAATTATCAGTTAAATCTGAAGAACGTACTCCAACAGAAGATTTTGTGTTTGATGGTTTGTTTGGTCATGTTTCATTAATGAATAGAGAAAAACTTCAAGAACAAGCTCTTGATTTACGTAAATATTTACTTGCATCAATAAGTGATTTACTCGATACATTTGAAATATCATACAATGAATGGTCAGAATCAGCTGTTAAAATTCTTACAGATTTAACAACATTATTTCTTTATTCTGTACAACTGACTATAGTAAATGATATATGTCAGGATGTACAACAACATATTTGTGATACTGCTATTCGTATTCTTGTAATTCCAACATATCGATCAATGAAACTTAATAATAATTGTCTTCAATATATTTATATGGGAACATCAAATGATAAAACATTAGATCATTTACAAAGTCAAAAATTAACATCGACCATGTTTAATATAGCTAATCTGTTTAAAAATGAAGGAGAAATTCAATTTAATGTTTATCGAATATTAGCTGCTATTATGATAGAAGAAGATATCAAACGGCTTGATGGTACAGGAGCTATAGCGAAAGTATTTCTTGATCAGTTAACAGAGATAAAAGATCGTTCAGGATGGGAAGTAAGAGTAAGAAATCTATTGACTAGTTTGAAAAGTAAATATTTCAATTGAATACATTCAATTATTTTATTATTTAGTTTTATTATTGTTTATTTAGTTTTATTACAACATGATCAAATTCGGGATGAAATACACACACAAAATGGTGTATCACTTTTTATTTATTGTGCAACTATGACAAAATATGATACACTTATTAGACAACGAGCACTTGAAAATCTTTTAATAATGTCATTCAATGAAAAAGTTCATTTAGATTTAAAAGAAAATACGACTTTCATGACATATATTAAGTCTATATCAGAAGATTCTACTGAATCAGATTTACAACGAGCAGCTCAAAGTTTATTATGGATGTTAACAAAAGATGAAACATCAAAAGAATCAATAGATAATAAAACACCAAAAATGACTTATGATATAATGATTAGTTATTCACATAAAGATAAAGATTTATGCTTTCAACTTTATGATCGTTTACAAAAAGATAATTTTCGTGTATGGATAGATCGTGATCAAATGCATGGAACACCTCTTGAATCTATGTCAAATGCAATTGAAAATTCAGAATTTGTATTTCTTTGTATGTCAGATGCATATAAACAAAGTGGATATTGTAAAATGGAAGCATATTATGCATTAGAACGACAATGTTGTATTATTCCATTAGTTATGAAATCACAATATAAACCTGATGGATGGCTTGGAATTGTTGTTACAGGAAGAATGCGTATTGATTTTCCAAAATATGGTTTTGAAGATGCTTATAATAAATTAATGATTGAGATTGATCGACATCGAAAAGAGAGAAAAAAAGAGAGTCATCCACACCATCATGATATACCAGTGACTATTAAACCATCAGATAATACCCCGTTTAAAGAAGATAAAGTAATAGAAAAAATCGTATTTCAAGCAAAAAGGTGAGATTATGATACAGAAAAGTAAGAGAAAAAAATATTTTGCTTTTGGTTTTTTTTAGTGATCATTGTTTACCCTCAAATATTGAACAATGGACAGTCGATGATGTACAACAATTTCTTATTAAACAACAATTTGAAAATTTTTTACCTATATGTTCACGAATGAATGGTACACGTCTTGTTCAATTGTATCAGATGTGTATGAAGAATTCACCAGTGATGTTTCAATCACTCAATAATCAACTTGCTATGACGAATATTGAAAAGAAAAAGTCTATGATTGAAATTGTTGAATATTTGCAATTCTTAGATGATCTTAAACCTTTTGTACCGATTTCACGTGAAAAAACAGAAGTGATTGGGTCTCGATCGACTCTATGCGTATTAATATGATGTTTCTTATGCGATTGATATTTTCAATAAAATCATTTTGCATAGAACTATCTTTCACTGTGTTTTAACAACATGATATACCAATCATATATAATAAAACATTTAATATTATTTTTCTTTCAAGTGATAATCGATGAGTCCAGAAGAGACATCTTTAAAATATAAAAATTCTGGCGAAAATCCTAGATTAATAAGTAGAGGAGAAACATCAAATCCATTTGCATGCGACAGAAATATGAAAAATGCAGTAGAAATACTACCGAAATACCATTTGATTTGACATTTGGTATAGTATACACAAGGCGTGAAATATATTATACTATTTGCTAACCGTATTAGCCGTTTTATTGGATTTTGGTAAACACACGATTAGCTGTCTCATATCATGATATCATTCTCTTCGTCACACAGATAAACAGTCAAAACATACATAAAAAAACATTTACTCATAGTGCATAAAAAATTAAAATGAGACCAAAAAAAACTTTACCCGTGTGTTCACATAAGAGACGTTACAATAACAAGATGAACGGCAAAAAAAAACTGTTTACTATTCAGAATAAGGAGGTGGTTACATTAAAGAGAGATATTTCCAGTAAAACACGCTCTATCGGTTCTGATACCACTCATAGTTAGAAAGTATTCATTACTAGACGTTTTACTGTATATATCTATGTAAGATACCCGCAATTCAAAGTTTCTGTAAAACAATTCTTTTTTTTTCGTGTTTTTTTACACTTGCTTCAGTAGAACGCAAGCTACTGATTACGATAAATTAGTTCTCAGTTTTTGAAAAGTTTTTTATGTCAAAAAATTTTAAAAAATTGAAAGAGAACCTTTTGTTTTTAGAAATCTGCATCAGTTTTCAAAGTATTACGAAATTTGCTATTTTAGTGTTTTCTTCAGTTTATTGAACTATTTTTTTCGAATAACTACAGTATTAATAACTGAGTATAAAAATAGTGTTGAATTGGTTTCAATTCAAAAAAGTTTTTCATAGTGCCGGCTTCAATTGTGTCCAATAGAGCGCTTGTCGGCCATTTTTGTAAACCTATCTAGTTTTTCTGGTTAAGTGAAGAAGTGAAATATTTTATGTT